TTTTTTTTTCTCAAAAATGTCCTTTCTCATTCATTGTGCTTTTAAGCCGTCAGTAGTAGAATTCTAATTTACATTTTCGTTCTAAAAAATCTTAAAATCATATATATATATATATATATATATATATATATATATATATATATATACTGTAAATTTATATAAGTTTAATAATTTAATAACATTTTATATTTATATTAATCATCAATATTATTGTTTTATTATTTTTATGTTAGCATAATCTTAAAATAGTTATTCTTTATTAATTATTATTATTATTTCTTTAATTTTCGTTTTTTCTAAGAAAACAAAAAAATAGTAAAATTATTATTATTATAATTATAAAAGTAAATTTAAATAACTTTTAAAATTTATTTTAGGTAACTTTTAGTTTCCTTTAGATAAATTTTTTTATTATAATTTTTTTTGTTTAAAAAATAGTTAAATTTTAGAAAGAAAAAAGGGTTAAATTTGAAAAAAAAGTATAAAATTGGTGAAATAATTATCTATACTAATCTATTATACAAAGATAATTCTACTTTTTTTATATGAATTTTTTTTCAAATTTTATCTTTAACTATCCGTTTTAAATATTTTTTTAATTTAACCGTTTTATATTTGATCATTTTTTAAAATTTAATATTTTCTAAAATTGAAATAGATTTTATAATAAAGAAGTTACCTACAAAATAAAAAAATTATCTATTAAAATTTATTTATATCTATTTTTATAATTATAATTAAAATAATAATAATAATAATTTAATTATTATGTTATCATAAAGAAAAGTGAATGCACCTCCACATAATGCACATGTTTTCATTATTTTTTGCTTGTGTTTTCACTCCTTTTATTTAAAAAAGTATATTTAAGCTTTAATAATTTTTGAGGTCACTAATCTTGCTGAAAAGTCTCAATTAGGTTCTTATTTATTTTTTCTTGGTTCTTATTTTCGAAAAATTAAAACAATTAGGTCATTGGTATTAGTTCCGGACTAACACAGTTAAAGGAGGTAACACGTGCCAGTTCTTTGTTTTTTAGAATTTTTTAGAATTTTTTAATTATTTTTTTATTTTTTATTTATTTTTAAATGTTACGTGTCAAACAGATATTGTGTCACGTGACAATGATAATCTGACATGGCACTGACAGTGCCACGTGTCACTGTCAAGTCACATGTCATTGCATTAGTCTTAGTTTGGTCCTTGTATTTTTATTTTGTCTCAATTTGGTCCTTCTATTTTTATTTTGTTTCAATTTAGTGCTAGTTTTAAAAATTAAAAAATTTTGTCCCTCTCCAAATTCAAAAAAAATTTAAATTGTATATAAATTTTAACAAATATTTTTATTAAAATTGATACTTTTATTAAATATTTTTAACAAGATTAAGTTTGTTTATATTTTTATTTAATTAATTATATAAATGTTAATTATGTTCTTTAAATATACCTATAAGAGTTAAAAGAAAGCAATGACATAACATGATAGTGTGAATTTTCAAAATGATTTAGCTCATTGAACAAATTATTGATGTGAAATTTCACTTATTTTTTAAATAAAAAATTGGAGAGAGTTTTCGTGAAAACGGTAATTAACACCAACATGTTAGTCACTCTTTTTTTTAAACCCTTATAGGTAGAGCTCTCAAAATGGGTCACAACACGCGGGCCAACCCGACCCACCACGAGTTTGAGTCGGGTTGGGTTTGAAAAAATTGTATTTTTTTTATGCGGGTGAGATTTCAACCCTGCTCATTTAAACCCAGCTCATGCGGGTTGAACCCGTGGTGGGCCGAGTTGACCCACATACCCACCTACTTTATTTTATTTTATTAAAATTTAATTTTAATTTTATAAAAAAATATTTATTATTTTGTTTTTGCTTGAAAAGATGATTTAAGTTCCTTATTTTCAAAATTAATTAAGTACTCATGTTGGTAGTGAAATTTGGGAGTGAAATTTGTTTAGATTTGAATTATAGAAAGTTTGTAATTTTTTTATTTTAAAAAAATTGTAATTAAGTAAGCCAATGAGTCAACCCGTTTACCCACCAACCCATGGTGGGTCGGGCCGGGTTCGAATTTTTCTGGCTCGCTAATAAATGAGCTGGGTTGACTCACTAAGTGACCAACCCGTGGTGGGTCGGACCGGGTCGGGCCAGGTGGCCCGTTTTGACAACTTATAGGTATATTTAAATAACATAATTAACATTTATATAATTAAGTAAATATAAATATAATTAAACTTAATCCTTTTAAAAATATTTAATAAAAATATCAATTTTAATAAAAATATTTGTTAAGATTTATATACAAGTTAATTTTATTTTGAGTTTGAGAAGGGACAAAATTGTTTAATTTTTAAAATTAAGACTAAATTGAGACAAAATAAAAATACAAGTTTCAAATTGAGACATAATAAAAACACAGGAACCAAATTCAGACTAATGCAATGACACTTGGCCTGATAATGACACATGACACTTTCAATGCCATGTCACACTATCATTGCCACGTGGCACAATATTAGTTTGACACGTGGCATTTTTATTTTATTTAAAAAAATGAATAATTAAAAAAAAAAACAGGAACTGACACATGACACCTGTTTTAACGGTGTTAGTACGGAACTAACGGCAAGGACCTAATTGCTTTAATATTTCGAAAATAGGGACACAATTGAGAAAAAAACAATTGAGAATTTAATTGAGACTTCTAAGCAAAATTAAGGACCTCGAAAACAATTAAACCTATATTTAAAAGGTAAATTGAAAATAAAATGTGAATCTACCAACCATTACCAATACTTGATAGTACTACAGGATATAGTTTACCAATATTTGATCCAGCGAATTCATTACCAATTATTACCAATACTTTGATAGTACTACAGGATAATAGTCAATTAACCCAAGCATTCTCACGGTAGTACCCAAAACATATACANTTTTTTTTTTACTGAGAACTAAGTCCACTTTTAACAAGAACTAAATCTTTATCAACATCACACCAAGCAAAATAACTTGTAACCCCATTATTTGACTATTGTTTCTCCAATCCTTGTCCAAGTCAAAATAACCCAAGGCTGATGCATATTTTGACTTTAAATTAATCTCAATTTGTCCATGCTTTTCCGAACTGGAATTCATCACTCACCCTACATTTTAATCACACTTGATTTCCAAACATAAAGAAAAGGACCTATTACTATTGGTAAAGATCAAACAATGTAAGTTTGTACCAAAACTATCAGGTACATAAAATTTTGAAACAAAGCTAAAGAACTCCCAAGAACAAGCACAAGAGTCATAAATATATTTTCTGCTACTGATAAGTCAGACTTACAGCATAGACATCACAAGATAAAAAACGAAGATTGTTGTACGATAGCATTATTTTCAACCATAGAAATGCAGGTAAATTTGTTCAATTTGACAGTTTCCATAATTAAAATAGCGTATCACCTTCGGCCTGATAACAAGAGTTGTTCTGCATCTGTGTACTTCTTCCTTGCAATTAAAGAACAAGCAGTATTGAATGCCAATTCAAAACTGCTTGTTGCTTTAACCCGAAGTGAATCCAGCATTCCCTGAACTTCAGATGACCTGCCAGCCATAACTAGTGCAGCAACAGAATTTATTTCCATGTTATCGATCTTGGAATTTTGGAGCTTCTGATAGATTTCTATGCAAGCATCCATTTTCCCTAGACGATACAATATCTGACACTCCAAAAGCATAGTTTCATCATTTCTCTCCTGTCTTTTCAAAGACTCCAAAGCTTCATCCAACTTGTTTTGTCTGTACAAGCAGTATGCCTATTTAGAAACAAAAAAGTAAAAAAACAGCAATCAATGGTAAGCACTTACGCATGTATGAAGCAATTGTACAATAAACTAACAAAGTTTTCAGTGAAATATCAACATTTATATGCCTTAGTGAGTAAATGATTAACCATTCAAACCAATGAATCTATATGGTTTTCAGTTAAAAGCAATGGAGTTTTCATGCGTACTTGGATTTAGACAAAGAATCCAAACAAATCATACAAACCAAGTGAAATTGAAACAAGAGTGAATTATACTCACCCCCAAGGTTTCATCAAATTTCATCGATTCAGCAATACCCTTATTTTTCTATTCCTATGCTAAATCTCATTAATTGCTTGAAAAACATTAAACCACATATCCCTGGAAAGAAGGTTGTTGTAAATGTAAAAATATGCAAGGTTAAGCACAATCATGAGAAACTTTGAGGGGTGTTAGTGTAATATATTCTTGAAATAATTCATACAACAGACTTAACTATACCGGATCAATGGAATACAGATATATCAAACAAGATCATGGAAAAAATAATAATGCATACCATTATCATGCTATTTTTCTTTACTACCAAGTTCACACATCTTTAATTCCTTCATGTAAGAATCCGAATAATAAGTTCGAAAAAAGGCAATAAGAGTCCCACATGCAGCAGCAGAAAAATTTTAGTTCAAAAATAAATCAAAATTAAAGGTTTGACAATGACTTAATGACAATTAGCATGTTTGAGTTAGAATTGGAGGTTTATTGCCTACAACTCTTTCCTTCCTTCTTCCTCAATTTCTTTCCATCCTACCCGTAAAACCCTTCCTTCTCCACTAAGCCCAGTTCTTCCTAACACGCTTTTTGCCATTCCCATCCAGCACCCGACAACTCAATGGTTTCTGCTCTGCACCCAGCTTTTCTAATCCCTAATTCAATTCGTAACCTCTAACACATACAAAAATCGAGGTACACATATCACAATGGAATAAGCATATATCCTCAGATCCGATTCTCAATTTCGAAAATTAACCAATGGCAAAGCAGAACGAAAGTGGAAATTGACATGCCTTGAAGAAATGAAAATCATCGAGCTGCTTCCGAGAAGACTTAATGGCGGAGAGCGCATCCTCGACACGGTCATTTTTTATCAGCGCAACGACCTTGCATCGGAGCGCGTCCTCATCGTCGGGTGCAATGGCAAGAACTGCGATGCAAACGAGATAGCGATGAGAAAACAAAGGAACGTTAAGGATACGAATAAAAGGAGGGACGTTTGAGAAGAGAAGTGAAATTGACGAACTCTGATCTGTAACTTTGACGACATTGTCGAATGCAGAAGCCTGGATGTGCCTGTTGAGCGTGGTGAACAGATCTTCGAGGGGAGGGGGAGGCGCAGGTTGCGACGACGCCGGCTTGGGCTTCGGAGCCATTAGGTTTCAGGCGAACCAAATCTCTGAATCGTGCCAACGCCAATTGACTTGGGTTTTGTGCTGCTTGGATCAGTTCCAAAGAAGACGGGTCGGGTTGCTTTTTTTTTCTCAAAAATGTCCTTTCTCATTCATTGTGCTTTTAAGCCGTCAGTAGTAGAATTCTAATTTACATTTTCGTTCTAAAAAATCTTAAAATCATATATATATATATATATATATATATATATATATATATATATATATACTGTAAATTTATATAAGTTTAATAATTTAATAACATTTTATATTTATATTAATCATCAATATTATTGTTTTATTATTTTTATGTTAGCATAATCTTAAAATAGTTATTCTTTATTAATTATTATTATTATTTCTTTAATTTTCGTTTTTTCTAAAAAAAAATAGTAAAATTATTATTATTATAATTATAAAAGTAAATTTAAATAACTTTTAAAATTTATTTTAGGTAACTTTTAGTTTCCTTTAGATAAATTCTTTTATTATAATCTTTTTTGTTTAAAAAATAGTTAAATTTTAGAAAGAAAAAAGGGTTAAATTTGAAAAAAAAGTATAAAATTGGTGAAATAATTATCTATACTAATCTATTATACAAAGATAATTCTACTTCTTTTATATGAATTTTTTTTCAAATTTTATCTTTAACTATCCGTTTTAAATATTTTTTTTAATTTAACCGTTTTATATATGATCATTTTTTAAAATTTAATCATTTTCTAAAATTGAAATAGATTTTATAATAAAGAAGTTACCTACAAAATAAAAAAATTATCTATTAAAATTTATTTATATCTATTTTTATAATTATAATTAAAATAATAATAATAATAATTTAATTATTATGTTATCATAAAGAAAAGTGAATGCACCTCCACATAATGCACATGTTTTCATTATTTTTCCCTAGTGTTTTCGCTCTATATTTAAGCTTTAACAATTTTTGAGGCACTGATTTTGCTGAAAAGTCTCAATTAGGTTCTTAGCTATTTTTTTCAATTGGGTTCTTATTTTCGAAAAATTAAAACAATTAGGTCATTGACATTAGTTCCGTACTAACACAGCTAAAGGAGATAACACGTGTCAGTTCTTTGTTTCTTAGAATTTTTTAATTATTCTTTTATTTTTTATTTTTTATTTTTTTAAAAAAATTTTACGTGTCAAACAGATATTGTGTCACGTGGCAATGATAATCTGACATGGCACTGACAGTGGAACATGTCACTGACAGTGCCACGTGTCACTGACAGTGCCACGTGTCACTGGGAGTGCCACGTGTTATTGCATTAGTCTTAGTTTGGTCCTTGTATTTTTATTTTGTCTCAATTTGGTCCTTCTATTTTTATTTTGTCTCAATTTAGTGGTTTTAAAAATTAAACAATTTTGTCCCTCTCCAAATTCAAACAAAATTTAAATTGTATATAAATTTTGAGTCAGGTTGGGTTTGAAAAAATTGTATTTTTTTATGCGGGTGAGGTTTCAACCCGGCTCATTTAAACCCAGCTCATGCGGGTTGAACCCGTGGTGGGCCGAGTTGACCCACATACCCACCTACTTTATTTTATTTTATTAAAATTTAATTTTAATTTTATAAAAAAATATTTATTATTTTGTTTTTGCTTGAAAAAATTATTTAAGTTCCTTATTTTCAAAATTAATTAAGTACTCAGGAGTGAAATTTAGGAGTGAAATTTGGGAGTGAAATTTGTTTAGATTTGAATTATAGAAAGTTTGTAATTTTTTTATTTTAAAAAAATTGTAATTAAGTGAGCCTGTGAGTCAACCCGTTTACCCATCAACCCGTGGTGGGTCGGACCGGGTTCGAATTTTTGTGGCTTGCTAATAAATGAGCTAGGTTGGCTCACTAAGTGACCTACCCGTGGTGGGCCGGACCGTGTCGGGCCGGGTGACCCGTTTTGACAGCTTATAGGTATATTTAAATAACATAATTAACATTTATATAATTAAGTAAATATAAATATAATTAAACTTAGTCCTTTTAAAAATATTTAATTAAAATATCAATTTTAATAAAAATATTTGTTAAGATTTATATACAATTTAAATTTTGTTAGAGTTTAAGAAGGGACAAAATTGTTTAATTTTTAAAATTAAGACTAAATTGAGACAAAATAAAAATACAAGTTTCAAATTGAGACATAATAAAAATACAGGAACCAAATTGAGACTAATGCAATGACACTTGGCCTAACAATGACACATGACACTTTCAATGCCATGTCACACTGTCATTGCCAAGTGGCATTGTTAGTGTCATGTCACACTGTCATTGCCATGTGGCACAATATTAGTTTGACACGTGGCATTTTTATTTTATTTTTAAAAAAATTAAAAAAAAGACAGGAATTGACATGTGACACCTCTTTTAACGGTGTTAGTACAGAACTAACGGCAAGGACCTAGTTGCTTTAATATTTCGAAAATATGGACACAATTGAGAAAAAAACAATTGAGAATTTAATTGAGACTTCTCAGCAAAATTAAGGATCTCGAAAACAATTAAACCTATATTTAAAAGGAAAATTGAAAATAAAATGTGAATCTGCCAACCATTACCAATACTTGATAGTACTACAGGATATAGTTTACCAATATTTGATCCAGCGAATTCATTACCAATTATTACCAATACTTTGATAGTACTACAGGATAATAGTCAATTAACCCAAGCATTCTCACGTAGTACCCAAAACATATACAATTACATGCCTAGTTCATTACTACATTACAACCAATTATAGATTAAATTCTAAAATATAATGAACATACATTGGGCATACTCTAATCCTAATTTATTTTAGTATCAATTAAACACTNTCTCTCCTGTCTTTTCAAAGACTCCAAAGCTTCATCCAACTTGTTTTGTCTGTACAAGCAGTATGCCTATTTAGAAACAAAAAAGTAAAAAAACAGCAATCAATGGTAAGCACTTACGCATGTATGAAGCAATTGTACAATAAACTAACAAAGTTTTCAGTGAAATATCAACATTTATATGCCTTAGTGAGTAAATGATTAACCATTCAAACCAATGAATCTATATGGTTTTCAGTTAAAAGCAATGGAGTTTTCATGCGTACTTGGATTTAGACAAAGAATCCAAACAAATCATACAAACCAAGTGAAATTGAAACAAGAGTGAATTATACTCACCCCCAAGGTTTCATCAAATTTCATCGATTCAGCAATACCCTTATTTTTCTATTCCTATGCTAAATCTCATTAATTGCTTGAAAAACATTAAACCACATATCCCTGGAAAGAAGGTTGTTGTAAATGTAAAAATATGCAAGGTTAAGCACAATCATGAGAAACTTTGAGGGGTGTTAGTGTAATATATTCTTGAAATAATTCATACAACAGACTTAACTATACCGGATCAATGGAATACAGATATATCAAACAAGATCATGGAAAAAATAATAATGCATACCATTATCATGCTATTTTTCTTTACTACCAAGTTCACACATCTTTAATTCCTTCATGTAAGAATCCGAATAATAAGTTCGAAAAAAGGCAATAAGAGTCCCACATGCAGCAGCAGAAAAATTTTAGTTCAAAAATAAATCAAAATTAAAGGTTTGACAATGACTTAATGACAATTAGCATGTTTGAGTTAGAATTGGAGGTTTATTGCCTACAACTCTTTCCTTCCTTCTTCCTCAATTTCTTTCCATCCTACCCGTAAAACCCTTCCTTCTCCACTAAGCCCAGTTCTTCCTAACACGCTTTTTGCCATTCCCATCCAGCACCCGACAACTCAATGGTTTCTGCTCTGCACCCAGCTTTTCTAATCCCTAATTCAATTCGTAACCTCTAACACATACAAAAATCGAGGTACACATATCACAATGGAATAAGCATATATCCTCAGATCCGATTCTCAATTTCGAAAATTAACCAATGGCAAAGCAGAACGAAAGTGGAAATTGACATGCCTTGAAGAAATGAAAATCATCGAGCTGCTTCCGAGAAGACTTAATGGCGGAGAGCGCATCCTCGACACGGTCATTTTTTATCAGCGCAACGACCTTGCATCGGAGCGCGTCCTCATCGTCGGGTGCAATGGCAAGAACTGCGATGCAAACGAGATAGCGATGAGAAAACAAAGGAACGTTAAGGATACGAATAAAAGGAGGGACGTTTGAGAAGAGAAGTGAAATTGACGAACTCTGATCTGTAACTTTGACGACATTGTCGAATGCAGAAGCCTGGATGTGCCTGTTGAGCGTGGTGAACAGATCTTCGAGGGGAGGGGGAGGCGCAGGTTGCGACGACGCCGGCTTGGGCTTCGGAGCCATTAGGTTTCAGGCGAACCAAATCTCTGAATCGTGCCAACGCCAATTGACTTGGGTTTTGTGCTGCTTGGATCAGTTCCAAAGAAGACGGGTCGGGTTGCTTTTTTTTTCTCAAAAATGTCCTTTCTCATTCATTGTGCTTTTAAGCCGTCAGTAGTAGAATTCTAATTTACATTTTCGTTCTAAAAAATCTTAAAATCATATATATATATATATATATATATATATATATATATATATATATATACTGTAAATTTATATAAGTTTAATAATTTAATAACATTTTATATTTATATTAATCATCAATATTATTGTTTTATTATTTTTATGTTAGCATAATCTTAAAATAGTTATTCTTTATTAATTATTATTATTATTTCTTTAATTTTCGTTTTTTCTAAAAAAAAATAGTAAAATTATTATTATTATAATTATAAAAGTAAATTTAAATAACTTTTAAAATTTATTTTAGGTAACTTTTAGTTTCCTTTAGATAAATTCTTTTATTATAATCTTTTTTGTTTAAAAAATAGTTAAATTTTAGAAAGAAAAAAGGGTTAAATTTGAAAAAAAAGTATAAAATTGGTGAAATAATTATCTATACTAATCTATTATACAAAGATAATTCTACTTCTTTTATATGAATTTTTTTTCAAATTTTATCTTTAACTATCCGTTTTAAATATTTTTTTTAATTTAACCGTTTTATATATGATCATTTTTTAAAATTTAATCATTTTCTAAAATTGAAATAGATTTTATAATAAAGAAGTTACCTACAAAATAAAAAAATTATCTATTAAAATTTATTTATATCTATTTTTATAATTATAATTAAAATAATAATAATAATAATTTAATTATTATGTTATCATAAAGAAAAGTGAATGCACCTCCACATAATGCACATGTTTTCATTATTTTTCCCTAGTGTTTTCGCTCTATATTTAAGCTTTAACAATTTTTGAGGCACTGATTTTGCTGAAAAGTCTCAATTAGGTTCTTAGCTATTTTTTTCAATTGGGTTCTTATTTTCGAAAAATTAAAACAATTAGGTCATTGACATTAGTTCCGTACTAACACAGCTAAAGGAGATAACACGTGTCAGTTCTTTGTTTCTTAGAATTTTTTAATTATTCTTTTATTTTTTATTTTTTATTTTTTTAAAAAAATTTTACGTGTCAAACAGATATTGTGTCACGTGGCAATGATAATCTGACATGGCACTGACAGTGGAACATGTCACTGACAGTGCCACGTGTCACTGACAGTGCCACGTGTCACTGGGAGTGCCACGTGTTATTGCATTAGTCTTAGTTTGGTCCTTGTATTTTTATTTTGTCTCAATTTGGTCCTTCTATTTTTATTTTGTCTCAATTTAGTGGTTTTAAAAATTAAACAATTTTGTCCCTCTCCAAATTCAAACAAAATTTAAATTGTATATAAATTTTGAGTCAGGTTGGGTTTGAAAAAATTGTATTTTTTTATGCGGGTGAGGTTTCAACCCGGCTCATTTAAACCCAGCTCATGCGGGTTGAACCCGTGGTGGGCCGAGTTGACCCACATACCCACCTACTTTATTTTATTTTATTAAAATTTAATTTTAATTTTATAAAAAAATAGTTATTATTTTGTTTTTGCTTGAAAAAATTATTTAAGTTCCTTATTTTCAAAATTAATTAAGTACTCAGGAGTGAAATTTAGGAGTGAAATTTGGGAGTGAAATTTGTTTAGATTTGAATTATAGAAAGTTTGTAATTTTTTTATTTTAAAAAAATTGTAATTAAGTGAGCCTGTGAGTCAACCCGTTTACCCATCAACCCGTGGTGGGTCGGACCGGGTTCGAATTTTTGTGGCTTGCTAATAAATGAGCTAGGTTGGCTCACTAAGTGACCTACCCGTGGTGGGCCGGACCGTGTCGGGCCGGGTGACCCGTTTTGACAGCTTATAGGTATATTTAAATAACATAATTAACATTTATATAATTAAGTAAATATAAATATAATTAAACTTAGTCCTTTTAAAAATATTTAATTAAAATATCAATTTTAATAAAAATATTTGTTAAGATTTATATACAATTTAAATTTTGTTAGAGTTTAAGAAGGGACAAAATTGTTTAATTTTTAAAATTAAGACTAAATTGAGACAAAATAAAAATACAAGTTTCAAATTGAGACATAATAAAAATACAGGAACCAAATTGAGACTAATGCAATGACACTTGGCCTAACAATGACACATGACACTTTCAATGCCATGTCACACTGTCATTGCCAAGTGGCATTGTTAGTGTCATGTCACACTGTCATTGCCATGTGGCACAATATTAGTTTGACACGTGGCATTTTTATTTTATTTTTAAAAAAATTAAAAAAAAGACAGGAATTGACATGTGACACCTCTTTTAACGGTGTTAGTACAGAACTAACGGCAAGGACCTAGTTGCTTTAATATTTCGAAAATATGGACACAATTGAGAAAAAAACAATTGAGAATTTAATTGAGACTTCTCAGCAAAATTAAGGATCTCGAAAACAATTAAACCTATATTTAAAAGGAAAATTGAAAATAAAATGTGAATCTGCCAACCATTACCAATACTTGATAGTACTACAGGATATAGTTTACCAATATTTGATCCAGCGAATTCATTACCAATTATTACCAATACTTTGATAGTACTACAGGATAATAGTCAATTAACCCAAGCATTCTCACGTAGTACCCAAAACATATACAATTACATGCCTAGTTCATTACTACATTACAACCAATTATAGATTAAATTCTAAAATATAATGAACATACATTGGGCATACTCTAATCCTAATTTATTTTAGTATCAATTAAACACTAAAAACTTCCAATCTCACTATAGCATATTACCACACAATAAGAGACTCAATGAAGTAGTTAAAAAAAACTAACTTACTTTTAGGGTGAAACACAATAATAATCAATAATAAGATATTAATTCCATTAAGATTTTTCCAATGTTTGTTGTACTTACCCTTCATTCTCATTGTCATCAATCTTATGCTCACATTACTACTATGAGAATATTGACGAATCTTTTTACCAATTCTTAACGTATCCTCATTGTCATCCTTACCCTTCATCATCATTACTCTCAAAATATTGTTGAATCTTTTTACCAATTCATAACACTTCCTTCATATACATATGACTAGTGACATAAGAAGAATAAAAAATGTGTACGATAGAGCCATAAAACATCTTTAAAAATGTTAATTCTCAATCCTCTTCTAATGGCACATCACCATTATTTTTTGGTCATTTCAATACCAAATTTCTTATCTTGCATATCTAACAAGACAAAGAAATTCCTTTATAAGAAATTCCACTTTCAAGATCAAGACAAACAATACGTTTATAAGAAATTCCTCTTATTCAACACATGCCTTGAATCTATAAAATATAGCTAGAGAATATTTCACATATTTAGTTGCACTTCAAATTTTTGAAATTGAATCTTTGATCTGTTTCAAGTCATCCTTCACAATCAAACTTAATATATGAGCACAACAATACATATAGACATATTCTCCCTTTAAGACAAGACAATCTACGATAACATCCTTCTTTTAAGGTATTAGACCCCAACATCATTTGTTGTAACATCATCCACAATGATACTAAGGACTCGCTTCAACTCCAATTATTCAAACAAGCCTCAACATGTTTATATATGAGCTCCCCTGAACATCCCGTTGTTTGAGAAAAATTAAAAATTTTCTTTTGAAGTTTCTCGTCATTATCAATAAAGTGGCTTGTTAACCTCATCTAGTTTAGGTTTTGCATTGAAGTTTATATGTTTGTAGCTAATTCATAAAGAATAAAGGCACTACTAGCAATACCCATAACCCATAAAAGATATACATAGAAACAAAATTTCAAAATCCCAAATTCCATGGTGAAAGGTGTAACTAGACCACTATGAATCACCTTATTGACAAACAAAACCTAAGTTCATATTAGTATATAAAATCAAAGTTCTAACAAGCAAATTTGTATAAATAGGAACATCGACATTTTGGTGATACCTGAATTCTTATAGACTGATGACCTACTTTCAAGTATTGTAAAATGCAAAATTTGAATATTTTGGTTTATTTTCTCAATTATCTCCTTGTGGTTATTGTGAAACTTTAGAAAGAGAATGAAAATCACAAGACAATATAGCATCAACACATTGATGCTTGTAAAGAAGCCACTAAACACAAATAATAATGGTTCAAAGCTGAATTTGCAAACTTGTAAGGTGACATCGTTTGGCTCGAACAACGGGGACGTCGATATGAAGAAATCCCTAAAAAATGTAGCAGGACATCTCATAAATAATGAATGCATAAAAGCTTATGCAAAGTAGTTAACTAAACTACAAATATAAAAAGGTTCAATTGTTTTAAACTGAACTAGAAAATGATACAATTCATTTTTTTTAAATAGTTTAGTTTTTCTAATATAATATAGTATAGATAATCCACAATTCAATGTAATTAGGGTAAGTTTGTCTAGCCTTATCTTCATTTGAGGTCTAAGAGGAATAAGGGTTCATCTCCAGTGGAGGCTTAAGGGAATTGATGGTTTGTCTTTAGAACCTTTTTTTCGACCCCACAGTGGGTGCTAATGTTTCGATCCTTAGTCCACTTAATGACATCCTTATATTCAATCACCCTTCACCCAATGTATTGTCTGTTTTGGAGTCTGTGCTCATTCATAGTTTTGTCCTTAAAAAGGCATCTTAGATGGTGGAAGGAGGTGTGAGTATTTAAACTGTCTTTGATTTTGACTCCTAAGCGATGTGAGACTATTGGGCATGGTAAGAACAAGCCCCCCACTTTTAAGGTCTAAGAGGAATGATTGTTCATCCCCAATAAAGGGTTTAAGAGACCAATGGTTCGTCTTAAACCTCGTTATCGACTCCACAATGGGCACCAATGTTCCAATCTCAAGTTTGTTGAGTGACATATTTAGGATCAATCGCCCTTTATTTGAGGTATTGAATGTTATGATCCTAAGTATGTCGAGTGACATCATTAGGGTTAATCACCCCTCATCTGATGTATTTCCCACTTTGGAGTTTGTGCTCCATCACAATTTTGCCCTTAGAGTGTGTCTCAAAAGGTGAAAAAA